CAAATAATGGTCAGAGAAGAACATCTTTCGTCGGCATAGTAAGACTGAGACAACAAAGTAGGTCTCGACAAAAGCAGAAAAGGCGAATAAACCTGGCAACCTCGTTGACGGCGGATGCATAGGAGGAGAGAACGGACGCAGGGGAGGATTTAGGAATGGTGGTAGAGGGGGAGGAGCTCGATCTGGTGGATCTGGTGGCTCCGGCGGAGGAGGAAGGTTCTGCATTATCCCGGGGATCATCACCGAAAGGTTATAACAGGAGCAGATTCGCTTTGCAAAACTCGCCGGATCTGTAGGTACAAACGGAGCAGCAATCTTCATACTGGTTTCAAGCCAGAGGTTACCGGAATCCATGGAGAGATTGGAGAGATTCTCGTCGTCGTCTCGAGTGAACCAGTCGAAGATTGATAAGTCGCGAAGGATTCTCGTCGGTGAGCCAGTTACAATGACAGAAGAGTTTAGAAACTGATCTTCAAGAGTTACGAACGACTCTCGAGAAGGGTGCTAACAGAGTCAAATGGAGGTGCAAGCGCGAACAGAACCGATGCATAGGTGAGAGGCCATCAGATCTGCGGTGGAGTTTCGGAACAGCGGCTACATCGGGTCTCGTGCCTGAGAGAGATTATTAGGGTGAACTCCCTGACCATAATCTTTAACTATTATATTTCTACCCGGACTGACTTCTCATAGTCACCACACCTGTATATATATCCCCACCAGCCAAAAATATTTATAATCGGTCCACGATAGAATACAACCGCCAAATTTTTTGTGCTTGATTTGATACTCATATATTTATGTTTAGTTTGGTTATGATCCGGATTAAATAAGTTTTTTTGGGTCCGCTACTGCCTCGCTCACTCCACAACTGTAATTAGTAAAAACAAAAGTTATACTAATAATATGCTAATGTTTCATCTGTATGACAAAAATATTATTGATTGAGTTGTTTTTTCTAATATCAATTGTCATTTTAAAAATTGATATGATACTTTTTTACAAACAATACCAAATTTACCTTTTA